GGCTCCTCAGTACCTGAAGTGTCCGGTTGTGGCGACCTGGCGGACCAGGATGGGAAAGCGGGCCAGCACTGGGCTGCAGAGCCCCCCTGCAGCCTCCAGCTGCAGCAGGCTTTGCAGATGGCAGCAGAGCAGGTAGAGCTGGGTGGCCTGGAGGTACTGGGAGGCCTCCATGGAGCTCCAGATGAGCTCCGGGATTTCCAGGAGGAGCTTGATCTGGGAGGCCATGGTGTAGAACTTCTGCTGGTCCTGGTTCTGGTCCCGGTCCTGGTTCTGGACACAGATCAAACAGGTGACGGTGTGTCCTGCAGTGTGAGGTGGAGGTGTGGATGAGCGGTACCTCCTGCCTGCCGGCTCTGCTCTGCTTCAGCGTGCGGCAGTAGCGCTGCATGTCCTGGATGGACTCCACCAGGCTCCCGGAGCACTGGCGCATCTCCCCGATGGTGTCCGCGGCGTCGATCAGGTCCCGGTAGCGCTCCCCCACCATCTGCCTCAGCTCCTCCTTCTTCTGCTCGATCTCTCCGCAGACTTTGCGCTCGATCCTGCGGATGTCCTCGGTGCTGTAGCGCTCGAACAGAGCCGCGGGGTCCTTAATGTCGGACACCCGGAGGGACAGCACGGGGTCCCCGGCCATCATCCTTCAGCTGCTGGGACAAGCCAACCTGGAAGCAGCTGCGGTACTTCCGGCTTCCACGTAGCCAACGCTCATGACGTCATTAGCTTCTTCTTCTTGTCGGATTTGACGGCGGTTGGCAACAAACATTCAGTAGCATTACCGCCACCTACGGGTGTGGAATGTGGTTCGTGACGGATTATCTACTAATAAACATATTTATAATTTCTAAGGAAAAAATAAAATAAAAAGCCCCACATGCTTATACATAACTTTATATTCTACATGATAAACACATTCACCCTCTCTATAATCAAATTCTATGAAATCATTTAGTTTTCTTTAAAAATCGAGTAATTATTTGTAAATGTTTACTTCCCAAATTCTTCCTCAAAGTAAAAATGAATCTTTTCATTAATAAATGAATCTTTTCATTAATAAATGAATCTTTTCATTAATAAATGAATCTTTTCATTCAAACTCTCTCCTCATATCTTCTCTCTCTTTCATATTGATGATATTCCAGTATAACATGTTCTGTTGTTTCATATTTTCCAGTAGTTTGCTTTGAATTATAGAACATGTTTAATTAAGTCCTGTTTGCTTAACCTCGTTATCTCTCTCTCCTCCTTTCTATTCTGCTTCCATTTCTTCCTTTTCTATCTATCTTCTGAATTTTATTAAACCATCTTCCGGTTTTTTCTTCATCCCACCTTTTTTTTTTTTGCCATTTTTCAGTTTTTTTTAATAAAACTCCTTCCCTCTGATTTACTTGTTTTAACTGTAAACCTAAATAATTTTAAATTGCTCTCTTTGCCATTTATCTGCCCTCTAGTTTCCTTCTAGTCCGATCTGTGCTGGAAGCCACACAAATAAAACTATCAAACACAGATTTTTAGTCCGGATAATGAATGAAATATTTCCAATAGAATGTCCATCCTACTATCTGATTGATTATATTTTAAATTTAATAATGCAGAGCTTGAATCTGAACAAATTACAGTTTTAATGGTTTTATATCTTCTACCGACTGTAAAGCTAATATTATTGCCAATATTTCCCCTGTTTACTCTGATAATACATCTGAAATTCCTTTTCCTATTTTCATATTGAATTCTGGTTTTACAAAAGTTATTCCTTGTTATTTTTGATGCATCTATAAATTTGAATATATTGATAATAATTGTCTTAATGTAACTGTACTAAATTACTATCTACCGTGTACGATTGATCTAGTTTCTTTTCTATTAGTGACAGATCTACTATTGCTTCTGGTAGAATCCATGGTGCTAGAACAGCAGTGGGGTCAAAAGTTCACACATTTGTTACTTAAGGTGTCGTCTGTCTTTCCATTATTATTTATAATCACTTGAAATCAGACAGAAATCACCTTCCAAGAATTTGTTCAATAAAACCACGTTTACTGATGGAATACAGTCAATGGAAGGCAACAGAATTCAGACCTTTTCTGTTGCACACCGTCCCTGCGGTTCTTCAAGAACGACTATCAACACAAACATACAACGACTTCCTGTTGCTCTCTGTAGCAATGAGAATTCTTCTCAGTCCTGTTTTGTGCTACAAATACTGCAACTATGCTGGAAAACTGTTATGTTGCCAATTTTGAAGTTATCTGGAACAGAAAACTTGGTCTAAAACACCCACTGTCTCATACATTTAGCTGATGATGCCAGAAAATATGGCACCTTGGACAATATTTCATTTTTTTTGTTTGAAAATGATCTTGGGACATTGAAGCGACTTGTACAAATACCCTAAAACCCTCTCCAACAAGTCGTCCGGCGTTTAGCTGAAAAGCCCATTCAGGGAGAAGAAGGAAGACAGAATAAAGCTCAAACTCCACATTCATGTTGTCCAACATTCCTGCACCCATGCAGGTCAGGCAGTACAGACGTGAGCCAACTGTCATATCATGTTGCACAGGAGATAAACTTTTGATGTTGATGGGAAAGTTGCTGTAGTAAGGACTATAATCCAGTTGTTATCTGGAGCCATGTCCACTGTTTATGAACTAGAAGGCTGTTTCTGCAGGTACCCTATCGATTCATCTGGTCTAGGAATCAGAAGTGTTACGCAACTTTCTGACCATCTTTATGGCGTATCGGTGACAAGCCTGACAAAAAACTGGTAGGCCTTCCTTTGCAGGACGGCCATGTTGTCTTTCCTCACTTACATGACTACTAATATGAACTTCCAGGATGTCCTTCAGCGTCATGGAATTCAGTGAAGGGTCAACCGAGGGAAAGAGGTTGGTGGATATTATCCCATCATGTTGGTTTACAGATGAAAACAAGGTTCAGTGCTTCTGGCCTCGGTATAAATGTCACTAAAGCAACACCTGCAGCCAGATGCTTCCTGGAAGATATGCAGTGTACCTGTCTTTGGAAATGCAGGTGATAAACATTTACTTGTATGAAAAATTTTAGCTTTACATTTACAAATGTGTTAACTTGAAATAAAATCCTAACGTAGTTTAAATAGACCTCAGCCTTTTCTTTACCAACTTTTGCCACTTTTTAAATTCTGATTTATCATTTCAGATCCTCCAAAAAAGGTGTTTATTATCATCAGATGAAGATGGTGTGGACTCTTCGGAGAATGAAGTTCCATCTTCTCCTCTCTGGGAACTTAACACAATTAGATCTGCCTGAAAAGTGTATAATCTGGGTGTGCACAGAAAGAGACGCCCCGTTGCAGCCTCTGTTCTGGAAAGCGCCGGCAGAGAACCAGCTCCACACTGCAACTCCTTCTATGAGTCCTGGGACTTTATGGAGCGGAAACGACTCCAGCCTGATGTTTACACGTCTAGTTACGCTTCTTAAGGAGGTCAGAGAAACACTAAAACTAGACGGACAGTTGCTGAATACTTTGCTGAGACAGAAACCTGCCTCACCGCTGGTTGAACCGCCTGGAGGAGGAGCGGTTTTTCCAATCAATGATCTCCTGAGCATGAATGAGAAGCTGGGTGACTCAGACTTCATGTCTGGAGTTGTAAGTTACATTTTTGTTCCTTAAAAATTAACATTTAATTAATCCAGTTGCAGTAAGCAATTAATTAACTTATCGCATCATAAATTAAAACAAATTTCCATGATTTATGGTTTTTCTGTTTCTACTAGTTCACATTTGTTTACAAGACTTTGTAATTGGATATTTAAATTGTCTTCCAGTTGCATTGCTCATTATTCATTAGACTTTAAAGTTCATCGATCTTTGAGAAAGTCTTCTTACTCTTGTTATTTAAAATGGTCTCAAAACGTTTGAATGACACTAACTTTTGTCTGTTCTCGTGATGGGCCAACCTTAAACTGATGCATTTATAAACATTTTGTCCATGTATAAAATTAAGCTATATATGTGTGAAACTATAACAGATCTATTAATAAAAACAAAATGTTTCCTGTATCCTGATCTTCAAACGTTGTCTGTAATTGTCATCATACTTAAGGTTTCCATGGTTGCAGAAATGGGAGGAGCGTCATCAGATGATGCAATACGGCGAGCAACGCGATTCCTCGTGTCCCATCAATTGGTTGCCTTTGATGTCGTCTATGGTCAATATTAGTTTCTATGGTCAGAGCAACTTTTCTTTTCACATTTTTTTTTTTTATATTTGTTAATTTATTTCGGTTATTAAACACCTTTTGTTTATTTTTAGTAACCTTATTAATTGAGACGTACATCTTTGGTTTATTCCAATAATATTCCTTTAATGTCTTAAGAGCTTAGTTTAGAGAGCTTACAAAATTTCTAAGTAATATTGTTTGAATTTCAAACAATATTAACAAAATAAATGGTAAATGTCCTGTACTTATATAGCGCCTTTATTCAAGTTAGGAGACGTGACCAAAGCGCATTACATTCATACTACATTCATTCACACACTCTCACACACTGATGGTGGTGAGCTACATTGTAGCCACAGCTGCCCTGGGGCTCACTGACAGAAGCGGGGCTGCCGTACACTGGCGCCACCCTCTGGCCACCATCAGTAGACAATGCAGGTGAAGTGTCTTGCCCAAGGACACAACGACAATGAGAGTCAGAGTCGGGGCTTGAACCGTCAACCCTTCGATTTCAGGGCAAACTCCTACATCCAACGCCACTGTCCAACTCTACGGTGATAAAACATTTCTTATATCAGTAGTTTTATATAGATGGATGTTTTCAAATAAAAACAAGAATCTACTATGTGCTCATAATAAAGATGCTTTTATTTTGGCAGATCTCTGCAAGCATGTTTGCAGGGGGGGGGGGGGGGGAAAACGGTGCTGAAAATCTGACACCTGCTCAAAGGTTACCTGTGGGGGGGGGGGGTGCAAATCTTATTAATGTTACATTTTACTAAAAGTAAAACACTAATACATTTTCTATCTATGCTTTTTATTTAGGGACACTTAAAAGAAGTGGATCCATCCACAGAATCACACATAAAGATACGGAAAACGCTTCTCAAAGTGGTTAACTGGAGCCCGTCACTGAGGTGGGAATAGAAAAGTTGCCGGTTCAAACCCAGGTGGGCAGGTCTTCCAAGTGCTAGGCTGATGACTCACTGGAGAGAGGCAGGGGTCCGATTTTGGGGGGGAGTGTCTCCAGTGGTCCGAGTGCTGGACCAGTACTCTCTCCCTGGTTGATGGTTCGAGGGTCTACTTGGGCAAACCCATGTAGGGCCACCATGGAAACCGTGGACAAACCCTTCTGGGACCCATATTATCCGCCCTCTTTTATCCCATATGGGGCACACCGAGGTATGCTGGCTGGGAGCTGACAGGAAGTTATGTCACCGTCATACTGCGGCTGATTGACAGGACGAGTTAGACTTGACCTGTTGACCTGAAGTTGACCTGAAGTTAGAAAGAGAGAGAGAGAGAAATGGCACAAGAAAAATTAAATTAAGTGAAATCCCTTGAAGCAAACTAAGAGAGAAGCTAGAGGTGAAACAGTTTGGACCTGATCAGCTGGACATCAGAATAAATCATCAGTCCAAAGACAGATCGAGACGGTTCACTGGGCCCTTTTCCAGGACCTGGTTTAGCTCCATGCTAACTGCATGCAGCAAAGCTA